TCTTCCTCTTCTTCTTCCTCCTCCTCTTCTTCCTCTTCCTCCTCCTCCTCCTCCTCCTCATCTTCTTGCTCGTTGTCGTTCTTCCTGCGCCGGTTCTCGTTCGGGTCCTCCTCGTCGCTCTGAACGGCGGCGCAAACGGCGCAGGCGGCGGCGGACGAGGCACCCTGCGCGGAGGAGGCGCTCTTTCTCTCCTGCCTCTCCTGCCTCTCCTCGCCTTCGTTCTCCTCCTCTTCTCCTTCCTCCTCCTCCTCGTCCTCCTCCTCCTCTTCCTCGCGGTCGAGAGCGAAGTAGCCGGTGCCCTTCACCGTGTCCTGGCGCTGGTAGAACAGCACGTAGCCTGCTTTGGACTGAAGGAAAGACAAGAATAAACAAAGTGACTCAGCCACGCATATAAGTCACTGCGGCGGCTTTCGTTTTTTTAACCTGTGTCGACACTTTTAAACACTAATAACATGACCATGCAATTACTGTAATCTTTGGATAATAAGTCAACAGGATGCTGTAGATTACATTAATTACAGCCTACCCTGCGGACTTAGTGCTTGCGGACATTTTTCTTAAGATAAACCTACAGTAACTAATCTGTCCGTCCAAGAAAAGTTAAAAGATAAGTCTGGTGATATTCTATATTTTTTTCTTATTCTCAACAAAAAATATAATTTCACCTGCCTTATCCTTTAAATTCCTCTCCGTTTTCTGAAGCATGCATCACCAGTCATGTCCACAAAACAGAAACCTCTCAATGAAAATGAATTGAATATTAAACACAAGAACAAGCACATTATTGCAATCATCTAATTTCCCTCCCAAAAGTCAAAGCATAACTTCATTCTGCATGTTCAGAATTTCCTCACATCATCCAAACAGCAGAAGGTGTTACCTCCAAGTGTATATCATTAAAACGATCAGCTGTGACTGTGCTGTGTGAATGTGAGAAGTGTCTTTATTTAGGAGCTCCTTTTCTAGTGGAATCATCGGTGAGTAGTGAGGTATAAAAGCCTTTAGAAACTTTCTCAATAACCCCCCCACTGTTAGTGTTAACACATCTTAATGAGACTCCACGTGGTTGAAGTGTGTAGCTTCAATCACTGACTTGGGTTGTTTATACGCGCCAGTTACTGTATATCACGAACTGTAACAGCAACACAATAACCCCCCCCCAAAAAAAGTCCTTGGTGCCTTTTTAGTGCTTTTTTGGGAGTATCAGCACAGCCAGACATCACACTGTTTTGCAATGTAATAATTAATCCTAATTACTTTGATGAAATGAACCATTCTAGATAGTGTCCAGCTAAACTGCCTGTGATGAATATACAGTAGGACGGGCTTTTGCAAATGAGGACGCTCACCACTATTTGATCTTCGTTGGCAGGAGACACGCTGCTGTCATCAAAGTTGTACCACTTTCCGTCGTCTTTGTTCTTGGCGTAAGCAGTATCTGAGATTAAAAAAGAAGAATGTAGAATTATACAGGTTTCCTTCGTTACTGGTGCACCTTTCCGCCAGCACTGCCGCATTTTCCGGACATTTTTGTTAACAAGACACACAAAGAGAAAAAGGTAATGACGTTTCTGCTGTGTACTGTTACTGAGAGTAATAGAGGTACCTAATATGCACACAATCCTGACCCTGACAAATCTTGCGACTACAGCAAAAAGCTTATTTAAACAAGCATATGGCTGGGTACAAATATGGGGAGAATGACAATGCAAAATGCAGCAAACCTCCACTGCACTGCCTGTGGTGAGCTTCAGAGAAACAAAGCTCTGTTTGATCATGACTGACGTTAACATCAAGCTTGTTAGCCTGCTCCAATCACTGGGCTTCAGCCGCGGATGAATACCATATTTGCACAGCGAGTTTCTCGATTAAAAGTGTGGTTGCATAAAGGAACTCACAGCTATGATAAAAGGTGCCTTGTTTTGCTGTTTACATTAAATAAGACAAAAACTCTAAATGGTATTATGCCAGCGTGACACTGAAGGTAAAATTATGGAAAGGGGGCTGTGTAAATTGCTGTGTGATATGTGTAAAATTCTCCTTACAGTGGCCTCCACCCATCCCGCCATAGTGGTTGGACACGGCAATGAGGTCATAGCGACAGGGCCCAGCGTTGGGGTTGATCAGGAACTCAGACATGTCCAGGTCTCTGCAGGAAAAACACATCATACAGTTTACGGTCAGTCGTCATGTGTCGAATGAAAGAGTGCAAATAAGTCGTGCTGGAGGAATACAACAACACAGTATGTATATAGTTTCATGCCAAAAACTAAACTAGCTCTTATAATAGCAAGACATGGCAGTGCTAACAGAAGTAGAGTAAAATGGTATCTTGACAACCAAAAGGGTATCTGACATCTAACATCTTTAATATAATCTGCGAATGTTACTCATTTTTGCTGGAAGATCGTAGAAAAAAGGATAACAATTCGACCTTGTGTTAAATATAAATTTAGTGATGATACCTCAAATGGTGGAAAACCACGTAGAAAACATGATGGAAATGTGGAATTTATGTTTATTTCGTGTATTATTTGAAGAAGGTTGCAGTCTCCTCACATTTTACATCTCTTCAGAGTAAGTTTGAGTCACGTGTTCATGTATGTCAGAAATTATTTGCTGAATCCATTTCTGCTGCACTTTGTAGTATTGTATTTTTTATTTTTTTATTTTAAGCTTTTTCGCTCAGGTTTCTTCCAGAGCAAATTGAAATTGCTCATGAAAACAGGTGGATGGTAATGTTTTTCATAATGTGTCACACTTCCAAACAGTGACAAAATATACACTGTGGAGGCTGACAAATCATCAGGTTTGCAAAACTTCATACTGATCTTATTTTACTGAAGAAAATCATAAGATGAGTCTGTGTTTACACCCTTACTGTACATTAGACTATTCATCTATACGTATGTACTGTGGGCCTGCATATAGTGTACGTGGATGGGTGATGGGTGAAAGAGAAACAACTGATAAATTGCTAAAAACTGTTCTGCTGCAGAGATTTATTGTCTGTGTGTGTGTGTGTGTGTGTGTGGGTGTGTGTGTGTGTGGTTTGTTGTGTTGTTGTGTGTGTGTGTACCTGAGTGGGAAGTCAACAAGGGAGTCCAGTTTATCCCTCATGTAACGACTGTATGAGAAGCGTTTCAGATGGACCACCAGCACTGGCGGCAGGGACCACAGGTCCAGCTTTTTAGTGGCCTGTTGGTGCTGCTTACAGTTTGGACAGTACCTGCGAGACCACATGCGCATTTTCATGTTAGCAGATGCAGCTGACCCCACGTGTTGCAGCATCTGGGCAGACAGCTTGGTGTCACCTGCTTGTAACTTGTTCG